CAAAAATTGGTATTTTAATTCCAGGTCTTCGCACATTTAGTTATAATACTGTCTTTTCAAGATGCTTTTTGGCATATCTATTGAGTGCTTCTCCTCCATCATTTCTTCTATTTGACTTAACTACTGTACATTCAAAAGCAAGTCTGAGTCTTTCCTGACGTCCATTTTGATCTTTACTTTCTTTCCTGTCTTTTCTGTGAAATTTGTTTCTTCATGCATTTTGTCCTTAATGCCATTCCACAACCTATTTAGTCTTCAGTAAATTGTGTTCAGTGAATGAAATCTGTTTCTGAGCCGGTCTCTCCATTTAGGTGGGATGTACTCAAAGTTGTACTTTAGTTCTTGTGGACTTATTTTCATGTTCAGGTCTCTCCATTTAGGTGGGATGTACTTGAAGTTGTACTTTGGTTCTTGTGGACTTCATTTCATGTTCTTCAGCTTCGACTTTCAATTACATATGAGCAACTGGTGATCTGTTCCACAGCCAGTCCCCGGTTTCTGACTGATTATATTAAACTTGTCCATCTGTCTTTCCACAGATGTAGTCAATTTGATTCCTGTGCTTTCCACTTGACAAGATTCACATATGTGCATAGTGTAGTGTCGGTGACCCTATGTACAACAGAACAAAACTTCACAGTCCTCACCATCCTCATAACTGTTCTATTTGAGCCAATTCATTTTTTCCGCCATTCTGTGAATCCATCTCCTTATGAATCCAATTCCTCTTTTTGGCTGGCGTGCCACTTCACTACGCTTAATATCCTTTTCCAGAGATAGAAAGGACACCCAAAGTATGTGGAACAAAGTCTCATCATCCTTGCTTCTAAAGCAGTATTTTTTTCTAAAAGAAGGAATTTTCAATGCTATGGTCTGAATGTAATTAGAGAGTCTAGGATAAAGGGAGTTGGTGATAAAGTGAGACTGTTCTCAGTCCTAATCAGGGGTTTGGCCACAGAAGTAGGATCCGTCACCATCATTAAAGCATAAGGAAAAAAGCCTGAGACTTTATCAGAAATAGATAACATAACCCAGCTAGAAACAGATCATACAAACTAACTATCCATCACTGTCTAAAAATCACTTCCTCCTCCTTTTGTAATAAGCTAAAAGGGAGAACCCCCTAGCAGAACAAGAAGGTAATCCAATAATTTTGAAAAGTACTTCTTCTAAGTCTGTGGAGCCTTTCCTCAATTTTGAACTTGCATGTCTAAATGTGGATTCCTCCAGAAAAGCAGACTCTGAGACAAGGATTCACCGTCAAGTTGTTCATTTGGGAAGCGCTGTGTGGGAATACTGGGCCTGGTGCATGGGAAGAGAGAACAATCTACAAAAGACATTAGAGGCCAAGAATCTGGTACAGGTAGCAGTCACCGGTTATGGCCGCTGGGATACAGACGGGACTAAAACCAGGTACCATGGAGTAGACTGCCTCGTGGTGATGCCTGCGGTGTCACAGTGACACTGTGCTGCAGAGGGTTTTCAAAGACTGAATTTTCAGAAGTGATTGGTTAGGTCTTTCCTCCCAGGTATCTGGAGGTGGATTTAAATAACAAACTTTCCAGTTAGCGGTCACACTAACTCATCTGTACAACTCCGAACGTCTGAAGTGAAGGCCCCAAACAAGCAAGCAAGCAAGCAAGCAAGCCGCAGGCATCAAGTCTCCAAATGAGGACAACTCCATCGGTAGAGTGACCTCCTCCGAAGGGTTCTTGGCTGTGATATTCATGGAAGCAGGTCACTTCCTTCCATGGTGCCACCAGTTGGGTTGAACTTTTAGGTTAATGGTCAAGTGCAAAACTTTGCACCACTCACCTCCAAAGGAAAGGTCAAAGAGTATTGATCCTGTAGCACTTGATGCCCTCGCCAAGCTGGAGCCAACACCTTTCCAAGGCTTTGAGAAAGTAGGCGGCAAAAATGCATGCACTAGCAATGGGCAAGCCTCCAACATGGAAGCAAAAGACTCTCGAGCAGTGGTTCCCAACCTTCCTAATGCAGCGACCCTCTAATACAGCTCCTCATGTGGTGGTGACCACCCCCCAACCATAACATTATTTTCATTGCTACATCATAACTGTAATTTTGCTACTGTTATGAACCGGGCGACCCTGTAAAACGGTCCTTCAACCCCCAAAGGGGTCGCGACCCACAAATTGAGAACCGCTGCTCTAGAGCATAGGTGGAGCTCTAGAACCATAGACTGACTACATGGCATCCTTGAAAACACTAACTCTTTTCTGATCAGCATTTGATGATCTGATTGGTGTTTGATTTCAATCTCTCCCTTTTCTCTGCTACACAAGGGATCATACATTTTGCATTTGAGTCATCTCCTAAGCTATAAAATATACAATTCTATCTTACCTTTGTCTTTACCTCTCACCTCAAATCTACTTTATATTTTGCATAAATTACAAGTTTAAATCTATTCCTGGGTTTTACATTCTTTAACATGAAACTTGCTCTCAAGTGAGCTGTAGCAGCTATCTCCCCTTTGGTATGACTGCTCATCATAATGGCCCATACGGTCCATGAAAAACGATGAGCTGGAAGTTGACAGACCCAAAGTAGATTGAAGTTCTCAGGGCTAAAGAAGAGAGAGACTGGGAAATCATTCCCTAAGGATTACAGAGTTATAGTTTTTGTTTAGGATAGTCAAAAGAACTAAATAGTGGTAAAGGATGTATAACTTGGTAAATGTAATTGATGCTACTCAATTATACACTTAAAAATGCAAAAGTAAAATGACCAATGATACACACTTATATACATACAGAGAGAGAGAGAGAGAGAGAGAGAGAGAGAGAGAGAGAGTAAGGGGTACCCCCCCCCAAATGGGAAAAGTTCCACTGGGCAGAGCTTTTATAGTACTCATTTTACCGCGCTAGGTGAGCATCAAGCAACTTGCTCTGAGTTAGTACACCCAGCGGCGTCACCTGGCAAGGTTCTCTCTGGTCACAGTGAATTTTTTCGTAAAAACAGTTTCCCTCGAATCTTGTTTTTTTGTGTGATGGCTGATTTAAGAGAACAGTGTGTGGCTGCGAAATTTTGTTTCCTGCTCTGGTGAAATGACACAAAAACTGTGACGACAAAGCTATCGAAAAAACTCAAGTGTACTGTATGAGTGGTTTTTCTGTTTCAAAACAGGTGAAATGTTGATTGATGACAAACCTGATTCTGGACGTACGTCAAATTCCCTAATGAACAAAAATGTTGACACATGGTACATTTGGAGTTCATTCCACCAGGTAAGACTGTTAATCAAACTTAGAGGAGCTGAAAAGATTACATAACAGTGTGTGACCAAAAAAAGCCTGACATGTGGCAGAAAAGGAACTGGTTTTGCCACCATGACAATACACCTGCTCACACAGCCATCTCAGTGAGCCAGTATTTGGCAAAAAACAGCATGCCTCTCTTACCCCATATGCCTTACTCACCTGACCTCATTCTGTGCGGCTTCTTTTTGTTTCCATGAATGAAGAGTGTCATTAAAGGACAATGATTTGATGACTTAAAAGAGGTGAATAAAAAAACAAGGGCGGTGCTATTAGCTATTCAAACAGATGAGTTTGAAAAATGTTTCCAAGAATGTAATCACAGATTTGACAAATGTATTAAGTGTAATGAAGAGCACTTTGAAGGTGATATGATTACTTTGTAAGAAAATTTTAAATATATAGCTTTAAAAAAAATTCCATTTTTTAGGGGGTACCCCCTCGTGTGTGTGTGTGTGTAATTTTTGCCATAATAAAATTAGTTAATCAAAAGAAAGATGGGCTAGACCACACACAGAGAGCTCAGACTATGGGGGTACACAGAAATCTTCATGCTATTAGAGGGTAAAAATAATTTTGAAAGAACGCATAATCATAAAATAATTGGAGGTAGATGAAGAAGCCAAACCTAAGCACAACTCTAAAGAACCATTTTCAATGAAATGTCATTTTACAAGCTTTGAACAAATACTATGTTGTTTGTTTTTAATAATCCAATCTAAAATGGTTCTTAGGTTGTAGAAGGAGGTTTATGACATATTATTAGTAACCTAGTTCTAAGTCTTGGCTGTGTATATAGTCAAAGAGAGATTATAATATGCCCAAGCAAATTTTACCTAAAATAACCCTGACTTGGCCTACATTATGCTTTGAAGTGTATATGACCGTCAGCCCTGGGAATGCAATGAATAGGACTGAAGTTAATGGAAATGTAGCATTTATTATAGGTTTCTTGGATTAAAGAGATTTATTATTATTCAGATATCATATTTGACAGTATACAAAAACACCTGATTAAGAGTCATTTAACATTTTATATTGTCCAATCTAGTTTTAATACAATCTTTATATTTAAACAGATATAAAAATGAAAAAATTGGGCAATCACTACAACTTTCTTAGTGCTTTATACTGAGTGTAAGAGGCCCATCATTGGCTACCCTCCTCTCTTGGCCACCAGCAAGCATTCAGTAGACGCAGTATTGAATAAGCCTACTTTTCAGAGGACAGTTTACACCTACATAAGCATCGGACCACACTGTTCCCTCACACAAACTATCTGTGCTACCACACGGTGAATCTTTAAAACTAGACACCTCTAACTACCCAAAATATCATATTGATATAAGCATCTGCATCTTGCTGCTCTAAACCAGTGCTTCTCAGACTATTTGTAATTAAGGAGGAAATTTTTTCATTATAATTTTAAAATTATAAATGATGTAAAATCATAAATGGTTTACAGCCTGTTAGGGACTGATACCTGTGCAATATGCATTCAAGATCATGCAATTTTTGTAAAGAACCTACGAAAGATGAGCCAAATGTATTGTTCTTATTATTAGATAAAAGAGACATAAAATAACTCTGAAATTTCTGGGGAATCTCTCTACAGGTATTCTTCCTTTCAGTACGTATCGCTGAGCCACCAGTAACAGTTGGTGGGTGCGCTGAGCAGGGAGCTACACACACCTATATATATATATGAAGGATAAACTTTACCTTTGACATTCTTTCCAAATCCTATAGAGGAAAGTTTTTTGTCCACTTGTTCAACATTGCTTGACTTCTCCTTCAGAATGTCATCGTCGTTAGCCACGCCATCAGAGGGTTTTTTCTTTTTCTTTTTCTTCTGCCGAGGCGGAAGCTTTTGTGGAAAAGTAAACATTGGGAATATCACAAGAAACATTGCAACGGCACAAAGGAGGAATCCGCTCCACCTGGAAAATGGGGACATGTGAACAGTGCTTATGGCTTTATACTGTCTAGACAAACCAATCAGCAAAGTCGAGTTCTGCAGTGACAAGATTCTCCAGTGAAACACAAAACACACGTCTTATCTTTCACTCTAAAGCGGTCCAGAGTTGGGCAAGCAAAGAAAAGGAAGGGTTTCTTTCTTCCTGTGGCACAAATGAGAGCTATCTCATCGTCACGCTAGCACGATGACAGATACATACTGTAATCAGCAGCCTGATTAGAATTTCATTCTATAACTATTTTTGAGCTCTTACATGTTAGTTCAATCCTGATACATGTGTATTGTATGGTTGAATTGTGTCTTCCAAAAATATGTGTTAAAATCCTAACCCCTACACCCCAGGTTAAGGAGCCCTAGTGGTATAGTGAGTGACCCAGTGGGCTGGGAACCACGCGGTCTGGGGTTGAAACCCATCAGTCGTTCCTTAGGAGAAGAGGAGGCCGTCTGCTGCCAGCCTTGGGAATCGGAGGCAGCCATTCTGCTGTGTCCTCTCAGAGTAACCTAATGTGATATACTCATCTTTCACAAGGATGTCAACAAGGAGCAATGGAGGGCACCTCCTACACCTAATGATCTCTGATTTTCACAAAGAGCAGATTATACACGGAGACGAGCACAGCCTGGGAAGACGGGTGCCAGGTAAGGGTTTCCAGAGAGAAGACGTCTGTTCCTGAGGAAGACCTCAGGCCAGCAGTAGAGAAAAATCAACACGGCAGTGCCCAGATTTAGATTTTTAACCTCCAAACATGTGAGAAAATTCTTTCCTATTCTTTAAAGTCACCCTCAGCTAGTGATTGTTTTATAGGAGCACTCAAAAACGGTGACCGTGCATTTTATAAGAAATCACTAAATCTTATCTTAATCAATAAAAATCACACACACTCTACAACATACCTCCTGAACCAGTATTAGATACTTCCTTTTTAGAAGAAAACCTCATGTCCTGTGCAGTGTGTATTTAAAATTGCTGAGAATGTTCAGATATTTTGCATCAAACACTTAAGAATGTATTGACATGACGATCACAATGCTTAACCCAACTATGGCGCCCTGGTGACGTAGTGGTTATGCGTTGGGTGGCTCACCACAAGATCAGCAGTTTGAAACCACCAGCCAGCTCTGAGGGAGAAAGATGAGACTTTCTCCTCCTGTAAAGTGTCACAGTCTCAGAAATTCACAGGGCCAGTTCTGCCCTGTCCTCTAGGGTCAGGAGGAGTCAGCATGGACTCGATGGCAGTGCGTTTTTTGGAGTTCTTAACCAACCTTGAGCACCACTGAAAGTCCTTTGACTTGAACCTTGCCTTCTAGAATTTATCTTCTAGTTGAAAAAATTTTAAGACGACCTTTAGGAATTCAAGAATATAAATAATTAAGTGTTTGCTCATATAGCATAGACGATGAATTTTATAACACTTCAGAGAAGGTAGATTATTGTGTCCCAGAAAGTTTCTTAGCTGAGGTGGGACTTATTGCTGTAGAAAATTGTGATTCTGCCTTTGAGTTCATCTAAAGCTGTCATGCTGCAGAGAGCTGTGAGGGGAAACAGAATAGATCTCAAATCCTAGTCTTGTCTGAAAGTCAACTGTTGGGCTTTGGGCTTCTTGCCTGAATGTTTCCCCACAGAATAATTCTTCAGTCCCCTTTCAATTCTTTCCCAGCAAATACAGGCTCCTGGTTTACCTAACAGGGTTACCACATTCTAACTGGGTTTCTTCTTGAACTCCTGACCTTAAAGCTTCAAAGTTAACAAATGTACAGACTTCATCCTCGGTTTCCCATCAGATGTAACTGGAATATAACCAGTATTTCAAGCACTAATGTCGAATTCAACCCTAAAGAATAGAGATCCTTTACAAAGTGAAAATTCATGTAAAAAATAAAAGCGTTCCCACTCAAGTGCTGTTCTCAGCCACAAAAGGTCACAGTTCAGAGAATAATTTCTCGGGCCAGTTCTTAATAATCGTGTGTGCCATTTTCCAAGATATTGAAGGTCTATAAAATAGAGATTTTAAGGTAATTTTTTACAACGCGTTCTTTTAAGTGCAGACGTCTAGCAATCTCAATTATTCAGAATAAAATCACAAACCCAGTGCCTATTGCAGATTAGGTACTCAATAAACTTGAGGAATAAATTAGGTGAATTAGATACATTTCTTAAATGAAAAACAAAAGGGGAAAACGGAATCTGTCCTCAGGGAACACTGCGCCCATAACAACTGCGCCCTTTAGCACTTGCCATGTTCATGAGGCCCTGGTCATCTACTGCTCTTAAATGTTTTCTTAAAGACCCTGCTTTCACGTCCTCCGAGCCCCCATGAGGTCCCTGGACCGACATGGCTCTCTCCAAAAAGGTGCAGGAAGTGCAGCATAAGACATGAGGATACCTATCCTCTCTGGACCACTTACTCCATCCACACCACTCACTCACTGCCATATATATAGTCAATCTCTACTTGTAGTGACCCTACAGGACAGGACAGAATTGCCACTGTGGATTTCTGAGACTACAGCTCTTTATGAGAGTCAAAAGCAAGAGTAAAGTCAATACTTTTACTTTCAGTGAGTGCTTGCAACCAGAAAAAACCAATGTATGTTCTCATTGAGAATTGTGAAAAACTCCAACACTGCCCTGATTATCTTGATAAATAATGTAACATCCAAAATTCAAGTTTGAGTTCTGCATCCTAATCATTACTTACTTCCTAGGACAATTAAAGTTGAAAGAGAGAATAAACAAGTCAATCCACAGCCCAGGCGGGGAAATAAAATATTACCATTAAAAGTGATTTCCTAAGAAAATGACAATGAAAAGGCTGGGCTAAAATTCTGGGCAGCAAGAGAATGTACACAAAACAGAAATCCAAATATAATAAGGAATTGGGAAGGAAATATTTTAGATAAAATAATGAAATGTATGATTAAAGTAAATAGGAAAGTACCCACATACTAAAGAACATCCCAACTCTAAAGATTACAAATTAAAGAGATTTGTTAAATCTGTTGTAATAGTTTCTTATTGCTGCTGTAACAAATTACCACATACACAGTATCTTAAAACGATGCAAACGTATTATTTTATAGACCTAGTGGCCAGAAGACTAAACTAGGTTACAGGTCAGCCTCTCTTCTTGCCCTTCTAAATTCTGGAGTCTACCTGCACTCCTTGACTCGGGGCCTCTTCCTTCATCTACAGCAGGTCACTGCAGTGTCTACACTCTTCATCACATCCCCTTCTCTGACTCTTGATGCTCCTGCTCCTTCTTGCCTTGTGATCACACTGGGCCCACCTACGCGATCGAGGACAACCTCCCTAACTCAAAATCCCGAGTCACATCGGCAAAGTCCCGTTTGTCATTTAAGGTAAGATTCAGAGGTCCTGAAGATTTGGATGTAGATGTATTTAAGAGTTGTTATTCTGTCTACTACACCCTTTTTGATTATTCTTAACTATTTTTCATTTCCTCATTTGGGAAATTTTATTGTAATTACTACAGTACTATAAGTCTATTATAATTAATAAGTGGAATGAAAAGTATTAAAAAGAATTCTTACCAGTTTCCAATGAAACGCGGGTCATTCTGGTCAACGTGAACAGGGCTGCTGGGGTCAACATAAAAACCAATAAGAAGTCCACCTAGTAAATATCCCACTGCAGGACCAAGTGCTCCCATGACATACATGATGGCTAGAAAGAAAGGAGGGACAATATGATGTACAGCAATGTTTTAAGTCTCAATAGCTCTCTAACTTTACTCTCGTGTTACATATATGGCACAGCTAAATCCAAGTAACAACTTACAAGTAACAGTGGGGAACTTGATTGTTTCCATGTTAACCTTTGAGTTTCAAACTTTGCTACTCCTTTAACTATTAGCTGTTATCCTCATGGGGCATCAGAATCATTTGCAGATCTTTTTATTACTTTTGTTTTGTTTCTTAATATAAATGTTCAGTCTATAACCAAGACTCACTAAATTTTAATTTATGAAAGTAAATTAGAGACCCATGTTAGTGAATGAGAAACTCACTACATAACCAAGAGAAGGGAAAAGGAAAGCTCTAAGAAAGAGTAGATAGCATTTGTCCTAGTTGGAAGATCACAGAACCAGATTCAGTTGAATTGGCAAAGCTGCTTAAAATGCCTTCAAATCAATATATTTTCAAACCACCAATTCAAAATCAAAGATCTTGCAATACATTTTATTTATTGTTAATTGAGGAATCCAACTAAAGACAACTGATCCTTGATAAAGGAGGGAATAAACATTAAATGGGAAAGAGATTGTCTTTTTTAAAAAATGGTGCTGGCAATATCAGATCTCCATTTGCGGAAAAATGAAACAGGACTCAACCTATAAACAACAATGAACTCAAGAGGAGCCAAAGACCTAACTGTAATTGTCAGAGCCATAGAGACCATCAATGAGAAAACAGTGACAACCTTTGGGGCCCTATTGCAGAGAACATATACACTAGCAAATATAATAAGGGAAATACACAGAGTAAAAGAAAAAACATCACAGGGACCGAGTAAAAAGAAAACACGTATGTGCATTAAAAGAGTTAATCGAAAGAATAAAAAGGGAACCCATAGAGAGGGGCCCATTAGACAAAGAACTAATCTCTAAAATCTATACATAACCGCATCACCTCAATAAGAAAATTATGAATAATCCAGTTCAAAAGTGGATAAAGGCAAGACATGAATACAATCTACCGGCATGAAGCAGGGAACCAACAGAGAGGTCGGAGGGGCCAGCCCCAATCCCAACTACGTGGACAGCCTCTCCTCCCACCAAACGAATTCACTTCAGAGGACAGCACTGAAGTTATAGTTCAGAAAGAGGGGTGCATCTGATCAGGGCACACAGGAGCAAACAAAGAGTGAAGGAGATAGAATGGAACACATCCTGGCCCACCAAGCTCCGAGGATAATATACCTGTTCAGAGCAGCCAAGGCACAGAAGGAGCATAGGGCCAGCCCTACCACGAGACACAACATCCCTCACTGACCCTTAATGCTCTGAGGGACAACACTGGAGGCACAGTGTGGGAACTGTGCCCAATCTGACCACCCACACCAGGGTGAAAAACTAAGGGCATACAACAGAGCAGCAAGGGGAACAAAGCAATTAAGTCCCCGGGGAACACCAAAAATAGACTTTGGGGCCAGGGCGTGGCACCCAATCAGATTTGACTTGCAAACACTGCTGAAGGTCAACAAACAGACCTGGGAATATTTATAGGTTTTCCCTTTTTTGTTGTTGGTGTTGTTTTGGTTTGGGTTTTTTGTTGTTGCTTTCTTTTGTTTGTATTTCTTTTGTGCTTATTATTTTCTCTACGTGTCTACCTAAATAACTTAGGTGGGCTGAACAATCCAGAAGAGAAAACAATGGGTCTGACAGTTCCAGGGTGAAAGAGGAGAGAGGGAGGCAGCGGAAAGGAAAGGGATGTTAATCAACCCAGGGACAAGGGAACAACAAGTAATCAAAAAACAATAGTGAGGAGGGCATATGATGCCTGGTGAGGCTTGCTTGATCAAAGCCAATGTAGCTGAGAGGAATTACTGAAACCCGAATGAAGACCCAGCATGATAGTGGGACAAGAGGAAAGTAAAAGGAAATAGAGAAAGAACTAGGAGGCAAAGGATATTTATAGAGGGTTAAATACAGGGACTTAAATATGTAAATATATTTATATATAACAATAGTGAAATAGATCTATATACAAATATTTATATGTTAAGTATTAATGTAGCAAATGGACATTGGGCCTCTACTTAAGCACTCCATCAATACAACATGGGTGCATAAGCAAATGTGGTGAAGAAAGCTGATGGTGCCCTGCTATAAAAAAATACAGCATCTGGGATCTTAAAGGCTTCAAGATAAACAAGTAGCCATCTAGCT